TCTCTCTCTCTCTCTCTCTCTCTCTCTCTCTCTCTCTCTCTCTCTCTCTCCCTCTCTCTTTCTGTGTGACATAGTCTCTCTCTAGCCCAGGCTGGTCTCTAACTCTCTATGTAGCCAAGGATGATCTTGAACTTCTGATATTCCTGCCTCCACCTGTAACTGAAGTTTTCATGTGTCCTGCCTGGTCCACAGCCGCTCAGACCCAAGAAAACACACAGAGGCTTATATTAATTTAAACTGCTCAGCCATTAGCTCAGGCTAACTACTGACTAACTCTTGCACTTAAACTCAGCCCATTTCTGTTAATCTATATGTCATGTTGTCATGTGTTCTATGGTTTTACCTGTGTGCCATTACATGCTTCTCCCTGGATGGCAGGTTGGCATCTCCTGACTCAGCTTTCCTCTTCTGAGAATTCTCCTTGTTTGCTTATTCCGCCTGTATTTCCTGCCTGGCCACTAGCCGATTAGCTTATTTATCAACCAATCAGAGCAACACAGAACATCCCATCGGATACAGAACATTCAACAGCATCCACCTACCAAATACCCAGTTTATGCAGTAATGAGGATGCCCAGTAATTTATGCATCCTAGGCAAGATCTCTACTGAGGGAGCTACATCCCAGCTGCATGTGTTAAGGCTTCTGTGGAGTAAGATTTCCTGACATTCAATAGTGTCCTTCTACTGAAGAACTGGTGGTCATTTCCCTGCTTCTTTTTCAGTTTCTACCATATCCATGTCACATGGGAAAGGTAATGATGTGTATATTCATTCTGCAGATATAGAAATTATGTTCTAGGGTTGTTTGGCAGGAAAGCTACTGATAGGATTTTAGAATGTTTACATTTTAGATTTAGGGCAGCGGTAGATAATTGATAGTATCAATCCCAGTGCTTGACAAAGATATTGAAGCATGGGAGTCTGATGATTCAAAACACTTTATATTATTATCCTAGCCTGCGAAAATGGCCATTCTGCCCTTCGAAAAGGGCCATTCTGTCCACAACATTCAAAACTAGCTTTTTCTTTCTGAATAGAGTACATAATTTTCAATTACTCATTTTCCATAATAAGCTTTAAGAAGTATTGTTTTTTTGCTTTTTTTTTTCACTCTGGAACTTTCTATCTCTTGGATTTAGACTTGGTCACAGGGCTTCCCAGGAGGTGTGGATGTGAGTGAAGTGAAAGAAGTGTACCTTGACCTGTTGAAGAAAGGGGTTCAATTCCCACCTTCGGCTGCAGAGGCTGAGACAAGGCAGGAGGTAGGAGGCCTTTCTTTGATGCATGTAGAGTAATATATGTTGCTTGGGTCTTTTCATATTGAAAGGGATAATGCCAGTTCAGGCAGCTTAGTAGAAAGATGAATTTATTAGGATATGTCTGCATCTCATAAAATAACCTGGGTTTAGGCTTCACCACTCACAGTATGATTTGAGGCTTAGTTTGTTGACCGTAGTGTGTATGCCATGCTGGAATCTTCCTTCTGAGAAGGTTCTCGGTGTTTCTACTCACACTGATGTTGAGAAGCATAAACCTAGAACATCATGCTCATGATAGGCTGTCCACTCACAGGGACAGATCAGGCCTGATCCGGGGAGCTATTCCTTGACGGAGGAGATGCCTTAGCAGCTGTAGGGGTTAAAAAGACTTCCCACGAGTTGGTTTGCCATTTTTAACAACACAGAAAATGGACAACGATAATTTCTTATGGCAGTTCATCATACGGTGCCTTGGTGAAAACCAAGAGGACTTTATCGACTAGTCATTTTGTTAATTAGCCTAATTTATGAATACCTCTTATGTCACAGCATGCCATTTGTGTAGAGCTCTTCTCCAAATATTGGATGAGTTGTGCCCAATGATGAACTTTGAGCTAACACCAACTACTCCGGACTTTTTATGAGAGTGCCTGAGTCAGTTGACTGAGAGCCAGGCTTGCGGTTGCTTTGTTAATTCATGTCTTAATGCTTCCTTATTTTATATCGATAGGCTGCCCAGCTCTCACCAAAACGACCAACACCTGTCCCTACTGCACCTGCTCTTTCTTCTATAATTGCTCCCAAGAACCCGACTATTTCATTAGTCCCAGAACAGGTAACAACACTGACAACTATATTTATTCATGTCTTTTTCGAAGCATCGTACTTACAGTTTGAGTTTTCTTAAGAACATTATGAAGTGAAAATGCCATGAAACACAACCCTCAATTAAGTAACATCTATATTTTGCTTTCTAAGATGAGGTATCCTCTGTGTGGCTACTTCTGGCCTGAAACTCACCATGTATCCCACGCTAGCCTACAATTCTTGATAATCTCCTTGCCTGGGAGGCATAGGCTGCATGCCTACGTATCCCCTTCTTTTACTGCGGGGTGAGGGACTGCCACTTAGGGAAGCTGTGTCATCATGCTTTATTTCTATGTAGAATTAGCCCAGTGAGTTTGTCTGAATTCTGTGTTCACACATTTAAAAATCGTGCTTGGGGGCCAGTGAGATGGCTTGGCAGGTAAAGTTGCCTTCCACCAAGCCTGATGAATTCAGTTGAATGCCTGCAACCCACGTCGTAGATGGAAAGAACCAGCTCCCAAAAGGGGTCCTCCTACTACGTAAACACACACGCACACACTAAATAAATATATATATATATATATATATATATATATATATATATATATAATAGCTAAGTAGATGAATGAACGAATGAATAAACAAATAAACAAACAAACAAATAAATAAATGCCTTGCATAGCCTTGGTACAGGGGGCAGGGGCTTGGACCTACCTCAACTGAATGTCCCAGGCTCTGCTGACTCTC